GAGAGAGCGAGAGAGAGAGAGAGAGAGAGAAAGAGAGAGAAAGAGAGAGAGAGAAAGAGAGAGAAAGAGAGAGTGTGAGAGAGAGAGAGTGAGACACATCACAGTGGAGTCAGCTGTCTTAACCGTGTACTGCAAACACATATTCAATACGGTGTCTGTCACGAGACTCTGTTCCCCTTTCGGGCTCTGTCTTTACATTTATTTTGAAAGATGAAGCTGGCGATTATGGTAAGGGACGTTACATTTCCGACGAGTGCTTGCAGTGTTCGGCCAATCACAATGCACTGGGTCAGCTGGCCAATCAGAGCAGACTGCGCTTGTCGGAAGGAGGGACTTTGTAGAAAACGAAGCGTTTGAGAGAGGCGGGGCATAGAGGACCTACAATAATGTAGAGTATTTGAAAAATAATGTGTTTTTTGAACATTAAAGCATGTCAACATATTCTGTTACACCAAATACACCAAATAATGATCTTTAAAAAAAGCATCAAATGATCCCTTTAATATTTTTAAATTGCTAAAATGTTCAAAAAAGCATCTATTATATAATATCAATTTCTGATGTCGCCAATAATGATGCACCGAAATTTCGGCTGCAGAAAATTAGTTCACCGCTCAGGTTTCACCATCACGTGGTGTGACCATAGACTGTATGTGACGCTCTGCGTAATACTGCATATTATCCCGCTCTATGCGTGTGCACTCCGCTCAGTCGCTCCACTCGTATACCGTTCATGCGAATCGGAACGGCAAAGTCCACTCAAAAATTGAGCCGACAGGAAACATCGATGTAGTACAGTATTGTTTCTGTCTGCAATAGCCCTACTGTTTTGTAACAGGGTGTGGTATATGGGCAACTCTGGTAACGCTGTAAAATAAAATAAAAACACTGAGTGAGCAAAAATTTGTGAGATAGCTAGTTATTAACATTTAATTTAAAAACCAATACAGCACACAAAAGGGATCCAAATCAAAGTTTTATTGGAAGAAAAAAAAAAAAAAAAAAAAAAAAAAGACACAAAAAAAAAAAAAAAAAAAAAAAAATCACAGTCCAGTTGGTTTGAGACTGGGAAACTGGACAGAAACAATCAAGTCAACCAAACACAGCAGGAGGCGGTGAATGGTCTACAATGCCAAAAACAAATCAACTCAGGACACCTGAAATAAGGTGAGCATCACTCATGAGCAGTGACCCTAGAAAACATCATTAATATGGCCTCTGACAGCAGAAGTTTGAATCTTTCCTAGTCCGTCACGCTTTGTACACCTGATTTTGCATCCAAACACAGAAGTCATTACAGACTCAGATGCCAATCATCTGAAAATTGTGTTGATCCTCTGTCTCGCATGCATGGCGTGACTGATTGACTGAACAAGAATGGAAAAGCTTTTAAAATAATATTTAACAATGTGTATTTGGCAACAACACACCATTGGATAAACATCAATCTGACATGCTAAATCTCCAAAACACGAACATGAACACTCAACTCCACCTGTTCTGCCGTCTATGAAACGTCTAAGTGCCAAGAGTAAAGCCGTCGTGACAGTCTCATATACGACATATCGGCCACGCTTGGAAATTCACATTTGGAAACTCCTGACCATAATTATGCAACCATGCGTTACATAATTACACCAAGCGCTCAGACATTTTCCAGTAGAGAATCGGTTTCAAACGACCTGTTAGCACCATTAAAACACAAAAACAAACTCTGATATGCATTCAACCACACAGAGAGATTTAATTCCCGGCAGTTGTCAGTAACGGGAGAAAAGCTGCCTGATTCCATGATAGGACTTCAAGAACAATGAAATTAACCATCAAACATATTCACCACGATTGTTCATCGGGAATGTACCTAACTTAAACCCGGCACCAACACAAGCGCAATCTCTCATGAGGTCACACTGGCAAACAGTGACTTAATGAGTCAGCAACCTGTGGAGGTAGCAGCTTAGCAACATACACAAACACAGATGTGGATATCCGAGCCAACACACACAGAGCTAAGTAAGTGTGCTTTCTGCATTGTGTCTCCAGCACCAACGACCACCAAGACGTGCCAATAAAAATAACTTCTGCTGAATCAAGTTCTCCATGTGTAACAAATCCGAGCCCCTAGTGTAGAGTTCAGAATCTGTGATGAGGAAAATCACCTACTGAGATATAACCAAACCAATCGCTACCCACTCTGAGAACAAAATAAAAGGTTAATGGCAGATCTCCGCACTGAAACACACAGCGTCTCCCTGACATGCTGCTTCAACACTAACTGCGGTTACTGAAACCACGCCTTCTTTCTTTGCGTGCACATTTGGGCCGCATTATGCAAATATTTCCACATAGTGAGGTAGATATGTGGGGGCGTGTTAGAACGAGCCGTTTTAGGGGGGCGTGGCAGAGTCTTAACTTTGATAAATAATATTAAGAATAAGAAAATATTTGAGACTTTAGTCTTTGCAACTTCAGGGATCTTATCTATGCACAATCAGCTTGTAACACTCCAAAGAGAAAGGAACACTTGAAATCGCATCATATGACCCCTTTAATAGTGGCTGGTTTCATAAATTAAATCAGTATGGCTGACAGTGCGAGTATGATATTTCAGTCAGCGACAGCCCTGTGAGTCCGTCACACAGGAATCACACAAAGCAATGGCTTTCAGCTAGTTTAACCAAGTAAACATTTGCACACACAAACAAATTTGGTTTGGGACTGACCAAAATAAACATTCTGCACTAAAAGAGAAAAAAATGCCTTTGGCGTGTAAATAAAAAGTTACTCACCAGTTGGCTGCTAACTGTGTTAGTAATAGCAACATCATGTTTTGAGCAGTCTTGACCTCACCTTTGTGAAGTGAGCAATTCAAATAAGAACCATAACCAGCTACCAAATAAAAAAGCTTCCGCTGCAACTTGCACATCTGCTATGTTCCAACAACTTCCCCTAAGCGAAGTTTTACCATCAGTGGTTTATCCATTCTTTTTTCTCTCTAATGTGACAACACTTTAAAGTCAACATGAAATGGAAACTGACCAACTTTTTTTCTATATCAGAGTGAGAAAGTCTATTGAATGAGGGGGAAAAGGGGGGTAAAAAAGAGAGTTTTTGTCCATGATTTTGTCCATCGGGAATTGACTGTAATTGTAGGAGAGCAAATGTATTTAGAAATAAATAAATGAATGAATTAGTGCTGGGCAACGATTAATCGCGAATAATCACATCCAAAATAAAACTTGAAATCGCATCATATGACCCCTTTAATAGTGGCTGGTTTCATAAATTAAATCAGTATGGCTGACAGTGCGAGTATGATATTTCAGTCAGCGACAGCCCTGTGAGTCCGTCACACAGGAATCACACAAAGCAATGGCTTTCAGCTAGTTTAACCAAGTAAACATTTGCACACACAAACAAATTTGGTTTGGGACTGACCAAAATAAACATTCTGCACTAAAAGAGAAAAAAATGCCTTTGGCGTGTAAATAAAAAGTTACTCACCAGTTGGCTGCTAACTGTGTTAGTAATAGCAACATCATGTTTTGAGCAGTCTTGACCTCACCTTTGTGAAGTGAGCAATTCAAATAATAACCATAACCAGCTACCAAATAAAAAAGCTTCCGCTGCAACTTGCACATCTGCTATGTTCCAACAACTTCCCCTAAGCGAAGTTTTACCATCAGTGGTTTATCCATTCTTTTTTCTGTCTCTAATGTGACAACACTTTAAAGTCAACATGAAATGGAAACTGACCAACTTTTTTTCTATATCAGAGTGAGAAAGTCTATTGAATGAGGGGGAAAAGGGGGGTAAAAAAGAGAGTTTTTGTCCATGATTTTGTCCATCGGGAATTGACTGTAATTGTAGGAGAGCAAATGTATTTAGAAATAAATAAATGAATGAATTAGTGCTGGGCAACGATTAATCGCGAATAATCACATCCAAAATAAAAGTTTGTTTACATAATATATGTGTGTGTACTGTGTATATTTATTACGCATATATAATTACACACAAATGCATGCATATATTTAAGAAAAATATATTATGTTTATAAATTAAATATATTTATATATAATAGAAATTAAATGAACAAATCTATACATGTAAATATTTTCAATATATATACCATATGTGTGTGTATTTATGTATATACATAATAAATATACACAGTACACACACATATACTATATAAACACAAACTTTTATTTTGGATGCGATTATTCGCGATTAATCGTTGCCCGGCACTAAAATAAATAATACAATTAAAATATACATATCATACATGAATCATGATATGTCATTCAATGTTTTATAAAAATAACAATAAAATTATATACATATATATACACATCAAAAATAACTCCATCATAATCAGCAACATACTACATATACTATACATGCTATATTTATATATATAAGCAATGATAATAATAAAACAACAATAACAATGATATTAATAAAAACAATGCAAACTCTCATTTCTTTTTTCCATGCACAGCAAATTTTCTTTATTCACCTGCAACTGGAAGGAGTGGCAAAGTGTAACATTTGGACACTGTGCATAAGTTAGCACAGTGCTATCATGAACAATAGACTTACCTCAGGTTGGATGGCTTTGAACACTGGAGCATCCATGAGAGTGATCTGACCCTGCAGGACAGCACAGACGACAGATCAGCACACAACATAAAACTTTATATGTTTTATATGACACTGTTGGCACCCATTTTTAATGGGTTTTAAGAGGAAAGTATTTCACTTAGGAATTTTTCTGTACTGTTTTTTTACTAGAGGTGACATAGATGTTATCTTTGAGATGTTGTGAAATACAGGAGAGTTTCTGTATTTATGGGCTTAGTTGAAAGAAGACTCTGTGTCGACTTCACTATCCACCCTAACATGAGAGCGTGTGAATGGTCTACACACTCTAACAGACACATGAATAATATATCATCTTCTGTCCACTGCTCAGTTGCCATTCACAAGACATTTTCCACTGATGCATGAACGTTGTGCGTGTGGAGAGTGTGTGTGCACATAAATAAAACACACTTCAGCACAGGCTTGAGACTTGGACTGGGATGATGTACTGTATATAGGTTAATGGGTTGGGCCATAAATAATAAAGCACAGAAAGAAACTCTGTACCCCAGATAAAGACACTTTCAAGCAGGCGTGTGCAGAATCAGGTCAGCGCATTTACTCGCATACTGGGGTTAGAAACACAGAGAGCGTCCCCTGGTGACACTATCAGATATGTCACATTTATTACACCGCTAATAAAAGCTTTGCTTGGCTTTGGACATCTGACTAGTATTTACAATCTAATTTTGCCTTTCGTAGCAGCTCAGGTTTTTCATTATTATAAAGCTGACAGTAACTGATGCTAAAAATCACCCAGATTTAAATGTTAACACTATTTTAGTATTCAGCATTAGGCTGGAAGAAGAAAAAAACATTATAATAAAAAAAATCACAGAAGATTATTTCCACTACAGGATAAAAAAATAAATGAATTTTAAAAGGGGATTGTGATTCTTTTATCTCAAAATTCTGACTTTTTTCTCACAATTGCAAGTTTATCTTACAATACTGATGTTTATTCTAAGAAATCTGAGACAAAGTCAGAATTGTGAGATGAAAAAGTTACAAATACTTTTTTTTTCCCCTTTATATATTCCACGGTGGGGAGGAAGAAAAAAACTGAATGTAAGAATTGTGAGATATAAAGTTAGAATTTGAATAGAAACTTGCAATTGTGAGAAAATTTGTCAGAATTGTGAGATAAGAAGTCACAATTGTCTTTTTATTCTTTATTTCATGGCAGAAATAAAAAAACTAAAATCAAAAACAGAACTGCAATATGTAAATTCAGAATTAAGAAAAAGAAATTCAGAATTGCGAGACATAAAAGTCTGAATTTTGAGCTCATATCTCACAATTCTGACTTTTTTTTTCTTCAAAAATGCTATAAAAATTATAAAAAGAAATAAAGAAATAAAAATCTGAATGGTGAGATGGACAGTCATAATTATTCTTTTTTTTTTCCGTGGCAGAAACGGGCATGCAAAAAAAGAAAAATGTACAGATTAAATTACAATTTTTATTTGATAAATGTAATATTGAGGGGGGGATCAGAAACTGATGTTTTTAATCACTGGAAGTGTGAAAATTTTCACTGCAGATGGCGTTGAATCGGTTTGCAGATCACGAGTATCGACCACACACGGCTTTTCTGTGACTCATTGGTTTCACAAGATGGATTGCGCCACTCTAAATTCTGTTAATGTTCTCCGCTCTCTTAAAAAATAAATGCTTTAGTGGGTAACTTTCTCCAGGCGGTCTGGTGTTACGTTTTTCTGCCCATCGCCCCTTAAATCGAATCAAAATCAAAGTGAATCGAGAGCCTGCAAGTCAGAACTGAATCAAATCAGTGAGATATACAGCCCTGCTTAGTAATTTGAGAGTGATCTGACCCTGCAGGACAGCACAGACGACAGATCAGCACACAACATAAAACTTTATATGTTTTATATGACACTGTTGGCACCCATTTTTAATGGGTTTTAAGAGGAAAGTATTTCACTTAGGAATTTTTCTGTACTGTTTTTTTACTAGAGGTGACATAGATGTTATCTTTGAGATGTTGTGAAATACAGGAGAGTTTCTGTATTTATGGGCTTAGTTGAAAGAAGACTCTGTGTCGACTTCACTATCCACCCTAACATGAGAGCGTGTGAATGGTCTACACACTCTAACAGACACATGAATAATATATCATCTTCTGTCCACTGCTCAGTTGCCATTCACAAGACATTTTCCACACATGCATGAATGTTGCGTGTGTGTGCGCATAAATAAAACACACTTCAGCACAGGCTTGAGACTTGGACTGGGATGATGTACCGTATATAGGTTAATGGGTTGGGCCATAAATAATAAAGCACAGAAAGAAACTCTGTACCCCAGATAAAGACACTTTCAAGCAGGCGTGTGCAGAATCAGGTCAGCGCATTTACTCGCATACTGGGGTTAGAAACACAGAGAGCGTCCCCTGGTGACACTATCAGATATGTCACATTTATTACACCGCTAATAAAAGCTTTGCTTGGCTTTGGACATCTGACTAGTATTTACAATCTAATTTTGCCTTTCGTAGCAGCTCAGGTTTTTCATTATTATAAAGCTGACAGTAACTGATGCTAAAAATCACCCAGATTTAAATGTTAACACTATTTTAGTATTCAGCATTAGGCTGGAAGAAGAAAAAAACATTATAATAAAAAAAATCACAGAAGATTATTTCCACTACAGGATAAAAAAATAAATGAATTTTAAAAGGGGATTGTGATTCTTTTATCTCAAAATTCTGACTTTTTTCTCACAATTGCAAGTTTATCTTACAATACTGATGTTTATTCTAAGAAATCTGAGACAAAGTCAGAATTGTGAGATGAAAAAGTTACAAATACTTTTTTTTTCCCCTTTATATATTCCACGGTGGGGAGGAAGAAAAAAACTGAATGTAAGAATTGTGAGATATAAAGTTAGAATTTGAATAGAAACTTGCAATTGTGAGAAAATTTGTCAGAATTGTGAGATAAGAAGTCACAATTGTCTTTTTATTCTTTATTTCATGGCAGAAATAAAAAAACTAAAATCAAAAACAGAACTGCAATATGTAAATTCAGAATTAAGAAAAAGAAATTCAGAATTGCGAGACATAAAAGTCTGAATTTTGAGCTCATATCTCACAATTCTGACTTTTTTTTTCTTCAAAAATGCTATAAAAATTATAAAAAGAAATAAAGAAATAAAAATCTGAATGGTGAGATGGACAGTCATAATTATTCTTTTTTTTTTCCGTGGCAGAAACGGGCATGCAAAAAAAGAAAAATGTACAGATTAAATTACAATTTTTATTTGATAAATGTAATATTGAGGGGGGGATCAGAAACTGATGTTTTTAATCACTGGAAGTGTGAACATTTTCACTGCAGATGGCGTTGAATCGGTTTGCAGATCACGAGTATCGACCACACACGGCTTTTCTGTGACTCATTGGTTTCACAAGATGGATTGCGCCACTCTAAATTCTGGTAATGTTCTCCGCTCTCTTAAAAAATAAATGCTTTAGTGGGTAACTTTCTCCAGGCGGTCTGGTGTTACGTTTTTCTGCCCATCGCCCCTTAAATCGAATCAAAATCAAAGTGAATCGAGAGCCTGCAAGTCAGAACTGAATCAAATCAGTGAGATATACAGCCCTGCTTAGTAATTTGACTTGTATTAAATAATCGTTAGTGTGAACAACGCCTTTCGTCACGTGAAGAGATTAGCCAATCATAATCCAGATCATCTATGTGAAGAAGTCTAAAAGGCACAGTAGCAAAAACAGTTTGATTTCATTTTGAGGATCATAAAGAAAGCAGTAAATGATCATGAAAAACTCATTACGAGTGTTTGTGGTGCAAGAAACATTGAGTAACATTATAAGCAGACTACAGGAAGAAATAAAATACTAAAATCAAATCAGTTCTCCAGCTGCGAGTGATTCGCCACAGATCGCGGCTTGATTAAAGGGATAGTTCACCCAAAAATGAAAATTTGATGTTTATCTGCTTACCCCCAGGGCTACCTACCTACTACTACCGCCACCTATCTCTCAAATGGACCATTGACACTCTATTTACAATCTCAATTAGGAGTGTCAATGGTCCATTTGAGAGATAGGTGCCGGTAATGCACTTATAAGTCTGCGATCCGCCATAAAGCACGAAGACGACGACGACGTCATGCGCCGGCTGTTGAGACAGTTCGGACATTGGGGTGAATCAGAGGTTAAAAAACAATATAAATACTGTTCAGTTTCTTGCACAGACCGATCGTTTCGTGTCTTTACACATCAATGTATTGTCACGAGCCGCATGGTTTAATTTGGTTTTGTTTGTGTATGTTTTTTTTACTCTCAAAGCCGTGATTCCCAATTCACCTCTATTATATGACTGACAGACTGCAACGGTTTGAGTTAAAAATCTTCGTTTGTGTTCTACTGAAGAAACAAAGTCACCTACATCTTGGATGCCCTGGGGGTAAGCAGATAAAAATCACATTTTCATTTTTGGGTGAACTATCCCTTTAAAGCAAGTATGCGTCAACAAGCAGCTGTGTATCTTTTCTTCAAGTTCAGAAGAGAGTTCAGCTGAGAGTTTCATTTGAAACAGAGTCCTTGTATTACCGGAGAAAGGAGAGCTTGATAGCCCTGCTCAGATTCTGGTGTTTAATTTAAACTCGCTGCCTGCACAATCGTCAGCCAAATAATCGTTAATTATTACTGAAACTGTACTGAAGTATTTACTACTCTCTCTCTGTGCTCATATCTCTTTCTGTTTTCCATGTGTTTTTCTAAGGTTTCTTTGGCTCCATTTACACCTGTTACCAGGGCCATTGCTACAAATCACAAGATACAAGAACATTTTTGTGGGTGATCACCCTCCTTCTCTTTTGAGTAGTTTATATCATAGAGGACTTTATTGGGCACCTTAATAATAGTATCTGGGATGGATTGGATCAAAAATCATATTTGGCAGTGTGATTACTTACTTATGATTGGACAACCTGAGGATGTTAAATGAATAATTTACCAAAAAATTTAAATTATGTAATTATTAACTCTCCATCATGTCTTTTCAAACCAGTAAGCAGTTTTTTTTTTTTTAGAACATTTTCATTTTGGAGTTAAATTTTCGGGCATGTGAGCAGTGAAGGACAAAAAAAGAAAAAAAATTATTAATATTTGACTATATAATAACAACAACAACAGCATAATAATAATTGCAGTAATATTGTACTGTACAATAAAAACAATGAATACTACTAATAATAAATATTATAATTATTATATTTTTATAATAATTATTCAAAAATAATATTTTACTTTTATTTAAATTATAACTTTTTTTAAATCAGCAAATAAATATTACTTTGGCAATAATATCACTGAACTGTAAATTAAAAGGCATTTATTCATAATAACAACAATACATATTATTATTATTCATACTCTATATACATCTTTATAAGAACAACAACAATAATTTTCGTTTACAGAACAACAGTTAAATTACAATACCAGTATTTATGGCTGTCTTAATTTCTTTGCATTAAACGTTAAACTAAATTAGGGGTCTCCAAACTCGCTCCTGGAGGGCCGGTGTCCTGCAGAGTTTCGCTCCAACTTGCTTCAACACACCTGTCTGGAAGTTTCTAGTGTGCCTAGCAAGACCTTGATTAGCTGGTTCAGGTGTGATTGATTCAGGTTGGAGCTAAACCCTGCAGGACACCGGCCCTCCAGGACAGAGTTTGGAGGACATTGCCAAACTATATTGTTTCTGAAATTACATCGTTTTAACACAAGTGATGAGAATCCGAATATATTTTTTAATAATAATATTGCTTCAACACACCTGCCTGGAAGTTTCTAGTATGCCTAGTAAGAGCTTGATTAGCTGGTCAGGTGTGTTTGATTGGGGTTGGAGCTAAACTCTGCAGGACACCGGCCCTCCAGGACCGAGTTTGGAGACCCCTGAACTAAACTATAGAGATTTTATACTGATGAGAAACAGCACAGAGACCTTAAAGCTTCTCTTGGCGACAACAGATTTATAAATCATTTGCATTACAAATTCAGTGAAGAAAAAAAGAAAAACTGCCTTGTGTTGCGTATTCAAATCGGTAAGTTGCTATCTTTTAGAAACAGGCATGTGATCAGCTATGGGCAAGAAAATAAGGAAAACCTGTTTTTTCCCCATTCAATATGCCTGCTTAATCTGGGTCAATGAAAAGTGAAAAGAGTGCGAATACAACACACAAAAGGCCTCACGCACACCGGGGGAAGTTTGACTTACTGCATATTCCTCTGGCGTGACCTTCAGCACGTCGAACACCACAGCGTCAAAACTCTTGAGCTCTGAGGGGCCCTTCTCACTGAGGGACTCAGAACTGCTGCTCCTCTGGAGGAAACAATGACAGGATAGGCAAAAGACGAAAACACACAAATGAGTGAAAGGAGGTTTTTATCATTTGATTACTTTATAAAACATGCAGGGTGAAGCAGGCAAACAGCACGTGTTTAATTTGTGTGTTTCCTGACCTCTGAGGCCGGGGTTGTGAAGGTGGAGACGCTGGGCTGGCCATTGGGGACGTCCATTATTACCAAACCATCAGACACTATGGAGCTCACTCACCATCGTCATCCTCTCAGCTCGCCTGTATGGCCCCCTGCACACACACACACACACAAACACAGATGCATTACAGGTAAGTTCAGGCATGGATTTTGGCTTTGGTGATTCCTAAATACACAAAACTGGTAAAAGTACAGTGTTTTCTAAATGACTGCAAGCTGCTCAGATCCACGGGCTCCATAAACCTACCCAAAACTATAGTACTCCCACTTCAGTGCTTGGAAAAGATTGTGTTGAAATATTGTTTTTCATTAGCATCAAACATGATGATTCTCATTTATGCCAGAAAGGTCCAGTTTAGCCTCCTCTCTCATTCATCAACAGCACATTCATCCAGCAGTTGAGAGCGAGACAGACAGTAATGTTCTTCTGGAAAATGCTCTTTTTCTGTGGTCTAGAGTCCTGCAGTGATTTTAGTTACACAACCTCTCATGGGACGGTGCAGTTATGATCTTTCCTTTTTGTATGAAGCTCCTGACTGTGGATTTATAGCGGCTTTAGCGATGTTTTAGCAATGCTTTCCAGTCAAGTGCATCAGCAAATCCTCGTCTTAGAGCCTCTCAGAGTCGTTTTGGCCAGGGATTTTGGATGGGAAAAAAAGATTTATAATGCTCCAAGACGACTCGGGTCAAGATTTACGTTTGCTTTTAAGTCAATTATCATCAAACTCACAGATAATTTACTTTTTCAGACAGATGACATTCTAAACTCCATCTAAAAGTATTTTAAACAGATTTTTTTTTTTGCTTACTATGCATGCAGCTTTTATAACTACATGGAACATTTGCACTTTTAAAAAGAATATTCCAGGTCCAGTACAAATTAATATCATATTATAATCATAAATGGGGCCAATATTTGGCGTGTTTAAGAACAGAAATGTTAAGAATATTGTTATATAAAAACATGTTTTTTTCTGTTAATGTTTGTTTTTTGAGCTGTACAATTCTTCTTGTCATTTTGACGATCATTTTAAAGGTTTAAAAAACGATTAAAATTTTTTTTAATACAAATCAACAAAACTCAAAATGAAATAAAAATAAATTAAATCTAAACCGCAATACTTAAAAAAAAAAATCAATGTGACAAAATAACAAAAAGTACAATTAAAATGGAAGCCGAAAATATAAAAGCTAATTTAAAATATTAATAAAAACACAACAGTAAATTAGGGATGCACCGATATGAAAATTTTGGCCGATACCGATAACCGATTATTCTTTATTTTTGAAAGCCGATAACCGATATGTTGGCCGATAAATCTATATCCAAATTGTTATATACTTTTTGAGAGCCTGATTACAAAAAAGTAAATAAATAACTAATTCAACAATTTGTGTGAAAATTGTATCAATTTGTGGCAACATTTCATTTTCAAACTAGAGCATTATTTGATTATTTGTCATTTATTTTCATCATTTTTATGGTTATTGTAAGGTTTTAGGCATCACAATTTATTGTTCAAGTGTTACAGTTACACAACTGAAACAATGAGCATTTTATGTTTATAGATTGGCCCCAATCTCTTCCATTATAAGTGCACTGTAATCCAGATTTTTGCTTTTTTTTTTTTAAATAAAAATAGATTTTTGTACTAATCAACAATATTCCACAAGTGCAGTTGAGTTGTTTGTCACACCATAGAATGATTTAAAATGAATATAACACATTCCTCACCTCTAATTATCGGCCGATACCGATATGGTGGCCGATATATCGTGCATCCCTACAGTAAATAAATAACTAATTCAACAATTTGTGTGAAAATTGTATCAATTTGTGGCAACATTTCATTTTCAAACTAGAGCATTATTTGATTATTTGTCATTTATTTTCATCATTTTTATGGTTATTGTAAGGTTTTAGGCATCACAATTTATTGTTCAAGTGTTACAGTTACACAACTGAAACAATGAGCATTTTATGTTTATAGATTGGCCCCAATCTCTTCCATTATAAGTGCACTGTAATCCAGATTTTTGCTTTTTTTTTTTAAATAAAAATAGATTTTTGTACTAATCAACAATATTCCACAAGTGCAGTTGAGTTGTTTGTCACACCATAGAATGATTTAAAATGAACATAACACATTCCTCACCTCTAAACCACACAGGTGTTGTTAAGTTGTGGGTGTGTTGTTAATCTAAAGTTTTAGTGAAGCGATGTAACCGTAGTACACTACTTCCAAAGAACAACGTGCTCAGCGACGTCAATAAACGCTACGACTGTGGGCTTCACTATCAACACACTGCTGTCAACATTTGGTTACACGTGAAACAAAAGCAGGTGTTCAGACAGTAATGGGACTGACAATGACAGCATGTGTGTGTGTGTTTTGCTCTGAGAGTGAACAGGTGCTATACATTGTTAGTGGACAAATTCAATTAAACTAGTCGTGAGAGGGTGAAAGGTGTGTTTAAAGGAAAATTTGCTTTCTCAGGAGGACCCAAAGAGGCCATAGTTTGAAGAAACACTCATAACCCTGACCGTGTATCAATGAGAAAGCCACTAGGTGGTGTTGTACATCTGGAAACAACAGCAGCTGCGTGTGTTTGTGGAAATGGGCTGCAGCTGAAGTTTCAGAGAGTTCAGTCTTGGGTCATTAGAGAGGATTGTTTCGGACACTACAGACACCAGACGCCACCCACCACATGGCATTGTGGGACGAGCCAGATGCAAAGCAGGATGTCATGCTTTCTTTCCCTGACGTACATGAAAATAGGCTTTAAAAACATCACACGGCTGAAGCCAGCAAAACATTCACTGCATATTAAGGAGAACAAGCTTCCTCGGTCTACAGACAGAAAGCTGAACTGAAACCATTCGCTCTGGCATGTCACAAACATGCAAAATTGTGACACGCTTAAATGGTTTAGAGTGATAACCCACCGATCTCAAAGTAGCAGCACAATCGCCATGCCACCTGACTAGCAAGTGTGACAATCCAAAAAGCTTCCACAAAAAAAATGAAGAAAAAAAAAGATGACTCACAATTTCCACAGAAAATACATATTTAATTCTCAACATATGCAGCTATAGCTTTTGTTTCTATGATGTTACCATAGCAATAAGAGAACGACTCCACAAAAAGAAAAATGCTAAGGAGCCCAAACTGCTTCATAAACGGGCCCACACGAAACCGTCGCCCACAGAGTTCTGCAGATTTCAAACCGCTAAAAATGTGAAATTCTACATATCCTCTACCACTTAAGTTTTAAGTTTATTAATATACATCCAAAAGTTTACTTTTTATGTGGAAGAAATGCATACTTCTATTCAGAAAGAATTCATTGTTACAATGATCTTATTAGGTTTGGTGTTTTCGGTTATACCGGTGTTAAGCCGCAACACTGGTTACGTCATTTGCCTACCGTGGCACAGCCCCCCACTGTCGGCTATTTTAGTTCAGTTAGAGGACAGACACTTTTTAAAACTAAACGCTCAATGCAGTGTGCCGATTTTGAAAAGCCTATTGACTGGACGTTTTTTTAAACATTCGTTTCTTATTTATTTGGTTCCAAAGTGTTTGCTGATTTTCAGTTTTATATACCTATTTAAACTTTGTGTAGCCTACGTAATTTGTTATATTATTAGGCATACAGTATATGGTGTATTTTTATTCGTTTTGTTAATAACAGTTCTGAGTTTGACGTTGTTGTTGCTTGAATTGAATCAACGGCGAATTGCAGCTAATTTGAAAGTGAAAGTAAAATGCGCACGGCACTTTTACAAGCCATTTGAAAGCGAAGAAAAGAGGGAAACTCAAACGAACTAACACCCCCACCCCAACGGTGATACCGGTATTACCGGTGTTGTCACACGACGATTGACTGGTGGGAAAATTTCCTCGCCGTCACAACCCTATATCTTATCTGAACTTTCTATTCATCAAAAAAAATCTACAATTATTTAGCAGCACAAGTGTTTCAACATTGATAATAATCAGAAATGTTTCTTGAGCAGCAAATCAGCATATTAGAATGATTTCTGAAGGATCATGTGACACTGAAGACTGGAGTAATGATGCTGAAAATACAGCTTTACATCACAGGAATAAATTACACTTTAACATGGGTTAAAATAGAGAACAATTACTTTAAATTGTAAAAAATATTTCACAATATTTCTGTTTTTACTGTATTTTTGGTCACATAAATGCAGCCTTGCTGCATAAGAGACTTTTCTGTAGTATATATTCACAGTTAAATTATTTATTATTATTATAATAATTTATGTTATTATTCAGTATGAATATACAAATGCATTATTACTATTATTATTTTAATTATTTATTATAATTGCATGCCTGAAAGAGATTAATGTTTAAATACATTTTGGATTAATTTGAAAAAGCTTTTAGGGCACCTATAATACTGTAGTAATTAATAATTTAAAGTTAATTAAAAGTAATTTAACATGCTTCATGTTTGAGTCAATTTTAAGAAGAAATATGTGAAACCTTCTAAAGAATGGATTGAAAAATGGCAAAATGCCTTAAGGGAATCTAAAACTATACTCTATAGCTCACAATCATTTAATAAGCATAATGAGCAGTGGATTTGTAGGATTATGAGTGACAAGTGAGTTTATTTTGCTTTCTGTAACCTTGTCTGATCAATGATATTGATATTGTTGGATCAATCTGTAGACAGATGAACTAGAGTGTAAAACTGGATGTAAAGACTATGAATGTATAGGCAATTGTGGCTCCATGACTGACGACTTCATGAAGTCATGCTCAGTTGACAGTAAAGATTGTGCATGTTCGTTACCACTGCACGTGTCGGAAGGGCAACACAAATCACCTTCACATGTGTCCGTCTTACGAGGGAATGTCACTGCCGGGTTGAATGTTCGTGTGGTGAGCCTGATGGTGTGATGGGAATGATTAATGTGTGAGATCTCAGAAGGTTGTTGAAAGAGACTGAAAGATGCTCAGAGGCACGGAGGAGGCTGAATGAAAGCCGGAATGGAGCGAGGGATAGATCCGGATGAGAAAGAGCGTAGGAGATGTCGATGTCTTGTCGCAACCTGTCGGGGAAACAGTATAACAGAACAGACAAGTAGCTCAAGTAGCTGAACAGCTCAGTTTTTCCCACCTTTATTTACATGTGTTCCCCCTCGATGTGTCCCATAAAACATGTTAATTAATCTTTCAGCTCCCTGCAGTTTTTGCTTTTGGTGTGTGTGCACGCATGAGCGAAATGTTGAAAACATGAGTCAGACGAGTCAGTCTAGTGCAACTTTGCATAGAAAAAGAACGGATAAACAGTGCAGTTAAACACAAAAACACATTCTGTGTGAACAGCCACTTATGATGCCAAAGTGCATAAATAATCCATTTTAACCCTCTGGTGATCGGCCATTTTGACCAAAAAATGTAATGTTTTTTTTTTGTTTTTGTTTTTTACTTCATCTGAATGGTACGGACATTTGAGAAACACTCACACTCACACACACACAAAAACACAAACACACACAAAAAAAGAAATCATGGACATGATTCGAAAAGGTTAAAATCCACGTGAACCGGAAGTTGCGACCGACTTTACTTCCGTATTGTGACGTACTTTCCTTCACGCGCTGTCAAAGCTCACGGAACACTGACAGTTGGAGAGGCGTGTTTAAGGACGTTATGCTCAAGCCCAAGCCATCAAACTGACGTCATCAGAGAAGGTCCGTCATTTCAGAGCGGAGGTGCATTTTCAGATTTGGATTAAATATTACGAAGGCAAATCATTTTTTTTATTGTTGATTGACTTAAACGGATGAATTGTTCACCACAAAAATAGCAGTGTGCGCTAACAAAATAGTCAATTTTGATTTCATGTGTACTTTAAATGGTCCTGGGGGGGAAAAAAAGCCACACTTGTACTGTTTGCAGTCAAAAATGACCACATTGGAAATGAAGGGGAAACGAATTTCATCTAGTGGAAACATTTGGTACTGCGCCCAAACAAAAACTTACCGAAAGCTCATTTTTAGATCAACCACAAATTTGGAACTACTTGTTCAGATGTATGGCTTTTTTATTTTTCAGAATAATAAACAAACTTCTATAACTTTTTTTTTTTTTACTTAAGCAATAATCTGCCACGTGTTTTTGAAAAGTTTCATTTTCAGGTCAATGCTCAAAAAGTGGTAACAAGTAATAAAAGGATCATAACTGTGCCATAAATATAATTTATTACCATAAAA